TACTGCGGTGGCCGACACTCGCATAGCTCCGCCGGTGCTTAACAAACATTTGGACTTGAAATTTGACCAATGCCTGTGAAACCTCGCTTAATGTTATGCACTTCAAGATTTTCAATCAATCCGCCGTGAAAAGTCAATTATACAGTGTGACCCATGTAAGAGTCGATTGCTCGAAAAGGTGACGTTAGATTATAATGGAAATTTGGGGTTATAGGATACCTTGTGGGAGCAATTTGGGTTAAATGTGTTCAATATAATGACACTTCCGGATCTACCGAAGCTCTATAAGCCTGATTGTTTTAAATTAAAAGTAAATCTAACTGTTTACGCGATATCACAACCTTTTTCAAAAAATGATAAATGCAGGCCAATACGTTATAACATTTTTCATATTCGTCTCTCTGACATACGATTTGTAAGGATTTTTTTTATAGTGGGAAACCTACAAAAAAGTAATTATGGAATAGGGCCACGGTGTAAAACAACCAGCTGAATTGAGATGTGGCAAAGTAGATTGTAGGGGATGTCTATTTGTTATCTGGTATTGTATTACTTGCCAACCGACTTATGATACGATATGCCAAAAATATTAAATTTCTTACTTAAATTTTCTGTGATATGTAGATTTAGTGAATACGAGTTTAGGAAATACGTTTATCACAGCTCTATTTCCAAGACACTAAGTTAAGAAGTATGTTAGTTTTGGCAGAAGATAACTGCAACCTTGACAATTATGCGACATGATATATTATATAAGTATAATAATATAAAGGTAAACATTGAACTCAATTAAAATATTCCACCTCATTGATTTTTGGAGAATCGATACTAAATTCACGGAGAATTCAAATTCGAGATTAATCGACACGTTTTTGCAAACATGTCCTGCATGATGTATCCGCCATCTAGATCCAAAAGAAAATCGATATATGGTGACTTTGAAGTTGAGTCATTAATTTTCAGATAATGATTGTAGAAGGAAGATAAACCAAAATATGTGTGTAAAAATAAAAAAAAAAAAAAAATGTTACCTTGTTTTATAAAGTATCGTACCGAGAAGTATTTCAGTGCGGACCTGTATTTGATCGTGCGGTCTTGGAGCAGCATGCCCTGACCTGTGAGGTCTTAAGTCACCTGATTCACGAGCCCTTTGTACTACATTAACAAAGGCACGAGGGGTTGGTTGCACTCGATTGGGAAACCGATTCGCATAAATCCGTGATGCCGCGTAAATAAGAATCATGTCACAAGTTCAGCATTTTCGTAAACATGTGCCATTTTTGATTTTGTTTGAGCCACGCAACAAACACCACTATTCACTCACGCGTTACCGACTGACACTGACTGTATACAACTGAATAGAATAATTGTAAAAACATCGTTCCAAATTCTTTCGCTTTTTTGTTTCCGATGCGATGAACGGATAAGGCGGATTATATCCGTTGTCGCCAAACACGAGCACATAATATTATTATTGAGACAGGGCGGTACTCAAACTTCCAAAGGGCTATAACTTTGTTACTTTAATTTTACCAGAAAAATGGTAAAGGAAAAAAACATTTCTTTTGATCAGATCTACTCACTGTTAAAATAAATGACTCAACTTCGAAGTCACCCCGTATAATATGTTACCAGCTACTTCAAAAACATACAAAACTCTAAACTTAAGCGTAATAATAAACCAATTCGAAGAGATTAGGCGTTTAAAATTGTGTGGTTTTAGTGCATACTTTTGGCTAATTTGCCTAAGATTGTCTACCAAAGTGACATACCAATGCACTGGCATATAATATGTTCTTTTCTCTGGAAAGTAAATTCAAGTAGCCATTCGAATTTAGTATGCCCACGTAGAGCAAGGCAGACATGCTATCTGTTTTGCGATGTGAATTGCTTAGTTGTCGTTAATAAACAGGAATAGATTAAATAAGGCAAAGACGCTACAGTAAATATTCACTATTTATCATTACATCATATAAACAGTACGAAACATTCTCTCCATCAAACAGCAACCATGACGGAATACCTGATATTGGAAATAGCGGGACATCTTGCTTGGCTAAAATCAAATACGTAGTTAAGCGTGATATGCTAGTGTATCTATGTAACTACGGTGAAGTTGAAATTTGTCTGACGTCGTAATGTGTACGAGAGACAATCACGAGAAGCGTGCAATATGTATGTTGTTAGAGGGTGTGCGCAGGTGGCAACGCGACAACCCGCAGCTGCGTCCGTGACCTCTAGCACACGTATTGCATGCTCCTCGTACTTCTCTCTCGTACGCACTACGACGTCCGTGGTATATGGGTTTCACTCTATATTTAGCCAATAAGGGGTTTTGGGAGTATTTAAATTGATTTTAAACTCATAGTTTTGTTTGGGTCGTACCGAGCTTCCTTCATAGAATCATGTGGCACTAAAATGAGATCGTAAAATTACTATATATAGCGCGAAACATCTATCAACAAATTTGCTTTGTCTCCAGTATTTTTCACTTTTCAATGTTGTTGTAGAGAATTCAATTCTGTTAGATTTGGGCTGACGGCTCAATGAAACAAGATGTGGAATGACATAAGTCGATATTACCTCACAACTGTCTAGGTAAGAGCCCAATGTCGAGGTAAATGAACTTTCGCAACGCCGATGACTATAATATATAACACTTATTCGCTCTTATTCACTTTAAACTGCCTTTTTTCAATCCACAGAAAGTGGTACCATTTTCGCCAACATTCTGAAGCGCTCCAATTGTATGGAACCCACGCCCTTTCATATAGTTTTGCAAAAAGGAACGAATTTAATATTAAAATGTCGACAACTATCAGACTGGTACTATGTAAAAACCTAAAAAAACGTGAAGAATCCGACAAAATGTCATCTTGCAGACTAGCTAGTTTCTAATGTGCAAAAGGTTGCCCGCTATGATCGCTGTGAGCGTATCTCAGTGTCCATCTATGGAGGAATAACTCAACGACATGACAAGCCAAGTAGTGTTTATGCCTGAGAAGATGTGAAAGAAAAAAGTTGGTAGAGTAGCAAGACCGCTTCTGAATGACTGTATGCATTGGTCTGCATGTGTATAAAATAAGTGATATTTGCTATGTAAGCAAATTATTATCAAATATGCTGCCAATGAAATATATTAATTTATTAGCTGTGGCCGACAGGTTATTTGTAAGTTGTCCTTTCTGAGGCAGGTTGTTGTTCAAAGTTATAAACTACTTTGAGGAGAATTACGGGAAGCCACCACCGCGCCAGGATTGTCTGTAATTATTGTTAGCATGCATATTACTTGTAATTCGATAGTGTACAGTGAATATAATTGCAGTATGTGGCAGTATTTAAGTATAAAACATAAGATTCCACATAAAGATAATTACTTCACCAACCAGCGATTTCCTTTCCTTATCCCTCTAGTTTTTGAAATCCAGCAAATTTGCATATAATTTCCAGAATAAATAAGAAAACATGGATAAGCAACTTATCTTCTAGTGTATTTGAGACAAGAGGCCAATGGAATTGCCATTACTACAGATTATTAGCACATATGTATATCCTCGCTATGCGCTTATGCACTGCTATTTCCTTCCAGCTACAGTACACAACATACGCTTAGACATCCGATAATACCATCTCTGAAGCAGATGATACATCACATCATAGCCAAACATTGATATCTGAGGCATCAACAACAACAAAACGACTGCAACTAGTGTACAACAGATAGGGCCAAGTTAACATCTTGTAGAACAAAAAACCTATAAAATGCCAAAAAAAATACCAAAACATCACTTTTGAAGATACGTATATCCGTGCTGATTGTTACTAGCAAATCATATATTTGCTCCTTGTACCTAGTCCGAATTCGTTAAGCGTAATGGAAACATTTGTTGTAAAAATGTTTGCCTTAGTGGATCCGACATTTTAATTTTTGATATGGCGTTCCTCCGTCGATTCTAGGGTACCATCAGGCTTTAGATTTTCTGCCATCCTCTTGTTTTAGCATTTGGTAAGGAATATCAAACTAACGCATGTACGTTTCATCCGCATAATCTACTGGCTGCCGACAGTATAGCCAGAACTTCAGTAGATCTTCCTAATCCACGTTGAGACTTGACTCCATCTGCAATACTCAAGGATTTGCTTGCATCTCTTTAGATTTAGCACTCAGTAATGAACGTCAACTTAGTTATGGACCTTTTACGTCTATAATCTACTGGGCGACACCAGGGTGGCCGAAACGTCAGTAGATCTTCCTAATCGGCATTGTGGTTTGATTTGGCGGTAGTGGAGTGGAACAACCACATGATGGAAGTTTTATGTTATGCTTGCTATACCTTATTTTAAAGCACAGCAATTATTTACCTAATAATCACATATAGGTCCATAGAGATTTTGGCGATAGTATCAACTTCAACTATTTTCACCGGTCTGCCTGGCCCCGAGTTCATTTATTCTATTTTGTTTATCTAGCTAATGTGCACTATTTGCATTCCACCCTGGCCTCAGAGTAAACAGTTAATATTCAATTACACAAATTGGTCAGTATAAAGAGCTTTCAGACGTGTTTATTGCGATGGCTTTCGGTTCACTAGTAAATAATGGAACAACCATGTCAGGCGAATTTTGGTAGCATGTTGGTCATTGAAAATAAAGTCAACAGTTAGATTTTCGGTGCTAATGAGACTGGTCAGTCTCAGTAATAGATGTCTACTTATTTATAATGAGAAGCCCTTGATGCAGGCCCAGAATGCGATGACGTCATGGAGGAAAGCTCAGGAGTTCACATTGAGAAAAACATTTAATAAGACCAATTAAGTTAATTAAAAAGTTTATTATCACCTAATGCATTTATTAAACCGTGAAGGCTGCCAAAATATTTATCTATCTGTGTTAGAGATATTTGGGTTGGCTTTATTTTATGGCGAGTATGAGTTGTCGCTTGCCTACCACGCGCGCGTGCGCTGCTAGGATAATAAAAAAAAGAGAGATACTAGCTCACCGTGAGAACACATCTATATGCTACAACCGCATACAGTGACACCACGTGTCTACACAGCAACCGCATATAGTCAGCAACCGCATATACGCAGCAACCGCCTGGAGTCAGAACCGCTCCAACACCCGCAATCTTCACGCTCCTGTATCACCGCTACGCCAGGAATACGAACCAGAGTTAGACAGAATATCGGATCAAAGGTAGGCGACAACCACATTTCATTCTTGAACCAGCCGCTATATAGTCCACTCGAATACTCTAACAATCTGGTCAAGGAACCCAGGGCACATCCCAAAAAGAAATGTCTTTAAATTTAAGCTGGGAAATAATAACTTGACTGCAATCCCAACTCACTTGACACGCATACTACTCCTAACTACGAACAAGTAGTGTCCCCTTATTATAATTATCGAGCATATCCCACCTCTACCCGCCAATAAGCGACCCTGAAATATTATCAGTGCAACCTCCGGACCGCAGGCCAGCCTCCGTTACCGCTCGCCTAGCCAGGGAATAACATAAATTTGTCCACAGATGAAGAGATGCCCTGATCAGCCGTCGTTTATTGGCAGTTGACAATCGAGAGTGGAAACAGTTGAAAGCGCAAGACGAACGGCAGCGGGTCAGATCGAGGCGACCGTGGACAACCCCCCAACGGCAAACAATGGAATTGATGACCGGATCGCTTAACCGCGAATTGCTGTAGGTTAATGTGTTTGAGTTGTGCTTTGCGGGCGGCAAATGTATTTGTAGTACGGAGGCAAAAAACATAATATGAAGAAACGGTGGTATCAATAATTTTTGATCAACGTCTAAGTCATCGATTTGTAGCAACAATAAAATCATGCTATATTTGTTTCATTAGCCGAATAATGATACCATACTGTCGTACTTAGGTAAAAGGCAGTAAAGTTCACTTAATGCTTTTTGACGCCAATACATCCCTTTTATGATTATAATTACAAAATATATCAGTTCGTCGTACCAAAAGCAATGGTCTTCAAGCTATACTGCTTTTTAGTGGTGGATTTAGATGTTTGTCGCTCAATAGTAATTTGAAAAGTGTGTAAAGCTTGACTGATTTTGTTCGGAGTTGGTGTTGCAAAGAAGCACTGTGTGCACCAAATTAGAAATAGACATTTATGAGATTTGTTTAGCGGTGCGCCTGGAACCTGTCTAGAAAATGCGTGGATCGATGCTCAAAGTGACAGCTCTGTATTCCTGTAGTTGTTTCGTACAAACATACATTATCAAAATAATTACGATCTAACAGATATAGTTATTTCCAAAGATTTACAACATTTTTACGTGCGATGAACACCGATTCGAAAACTGCCGTAAATCTAAGTTCGACAACGAAAGTCTGAAGAATAACTGTAACATCTATGTTGAATTTCAAAAAATAATTAACTGTACCTATTGATATTTTTACCACCTGCTGATATAATAGAAGTGCTTGACTGTGTCAGTATTTGCACCAATTACTTTTTTAATTGTTTAATGGGCAATTCAGAATCTTAATCCTTAAGCTTAGTACGCACTAGTAGACCCCGTTGCGCAAATTGTCTATAGGAAGTCCGGGGACGTTCTCAAGACACGATCTATAGATGGTATATAGACATCTTTCTTTGTCTTGTCTAGCGTCGATACGAAAATGTGAATTTTTTGGTCTCATGCTCGTTTTGGCCATCAAAGACATTGTTTTGTATGGAAGGATATGTCTCGGGGCCTCTCACATTTTTTTCTTTTCGGTTAACAGAGCAATGACGTTTTTTATGTTTCAATCTTTAATATTACTACACCAGTTAATTATAAATGCCACGTACTTATTTTATTCTCATATAATAAAATATTGCGTTTCTGAGCATTTTCCATGATTTAAGGAGCAATGATAGGATACAGTCTAGAAGTTCCACTGAGGTTGAAAAATTACCAGCTCCAAATATGGTTCCCCCCCCTCCCCTAGACGAAATTCTAAATCCGCCCTTGCTGCTTTTATTCTCTGTATGATACAAGTACTGTCCGTTTCCCCTTTTATAACCTATTATGATGCCTATTTGATTTTTTTCTGCAGTTATATGAATCACATAATTCACCGTTACAAATGATTACTTTTGCTCCAAAGGAATAATTTAGAGAAATATTTTTCGCTCAACATAAGAAAACATGTTTTTTTTAACTTATTTATATAATTACTTCAATAATAAATTTTGAACACTTTTACAAAATATCCAAAAGGTACTAAAAACCATAAGCTCCCAACCTACATTACCCTATCTAGACTAGGAAAAACAAAATATTGTGTTCACGGTTAAAAAAAAATCGTCATGCTAGATTACCTCAACTATATGCAAAATTCGCTATTTTTGCACTTTTACGATATCTCGGAAACTAGAGCTAATTGAGAGACTTGCACGGATTCGAATTCAACGCATCAAGAAACTTCGGGGAAGAATACTCTGGTTTCTGGGTAAGAGGATCGGCTCACTTTCATCAGCCTGTATAATCAAGCGTTTAAGTAACCAAATAATGTATTGCTAGCATATTTCTAGGCATAACTTTATAAATTTTACCACCTGTCACGCCTTACATACCCAAGTCTGACTGAGGTTGCCAGGGGACTGATCCTTCAAAAATTTATTATACCTTCTAAAAATTGAATGTCACTCACGTACCTAGATGCATACCAGTCGAAACGTAAAAATATATTCCCGCCGAACGAAAACCGTCATCCACACGCATATCGAGAGGTGTTGGAATGCTAATATCCCACTTCTGAGGTTATTTGCTTGCTCATACGGAAGAAGGGTCTCAAAGGACCAATTTTCAATTTTTAAGTTTTGAGAACAACACCTGGCTTTGGAAGAGCTTGGAACACACAACTCCAGCTTTAACTTCCACGTTCTTTGTCAGCTAAGTAGAAAGTAGTTCAGTACGTGACTTCAACTTTTCTCCACGTGAATAGCTTACCTACGGTCCGATTTTACTATTGACTCGTAAGAATCAAGATTTGCGCCTATGGGACAAATTCGACCAATCACAAGGCGCTTATGAATATAGTCGAATTACTGGAAAATATCTCTCAAACTAGATAAAAAAATTTACGATTTGTGTTAGATGGGTACCTACAGGGTGACTTTGAAGTTGAGTCATTAATTTTCAGATAATTATTGTAGAAGGAAGATAAACCAAAATATGGGTGTAAAAATAAAAAAAAAATTTTTACCTTGTTTTATAAAGTATCCTCCCGACAAGTATTTCAGTGCGGACCTGTATTTGATCGTGAGGTCCCCTGTGAGGTCTTAAGTCACCTGATTCACGAGCCCGTTGTACTACATTAACAAAGGCACGAGGGGTTGGTTGCACTCGATTGGGAAACCGATCCGCATAAACATGTGCCATTTTTTATTTCGTTTGAGCCACGCAACAGACACCACTATTCACACGCGTTACCGACTGACACTGACTGTATGTATACAACTGAATAAAATAATTGTAAAAACATCGTTCCAAATTCTTTCGCTTTTCTGTTTCCGATGCGATGAACCGATAAGGCGGATTATATCCGTTGTTGCTAAACACGAGCACATGATATTATTATTGAGACAGGGCGGTACTCAAACTTCCAAAGGGCTATAACTTTGTTACTTTAATTTTACCAGAAAAATGGTAAAGGAAAGAAACATTTCTTTTGATCAGATCTACTCACTGTTAAAATAAATTACTCAACCCTGTATATTAAGGTAAACTCTAGAAATCACCTGGTTTAACCACAAACACCTATCTTTTCATTGGAGCCCAGTCGCAAAATTTGCGGCTATGGCACAAACTTCACCAATCAGAAAGAAGTTTCATATTTCTCTTGTAAGTAATAAAACCAAATTAAATATAGACATAACCCTGAGAAAATTGAATTGATATATCTATTGTTAATTAGGTGAAATATTTAAAAAATTTATCAATTGAATTCCATTGTAAACATATTTTTATTTTTCTGTTGAAAATAATGGGTAAAATAAAAAATGATTTCCATTGTACGGTACCTTGACTAAGAAGTCGTTCGAACCCGAACCGTAACGTGCCGACTAAGCTGCGCAAGCGCAATAGTTTCCGCAATCAGATTTCAATCTATACCCTGTCCGTAATCCATTTACGCCCCGGCACAACAAAAATGCAGCGCGGCAAAGCGGTAGCCGCCTAAGCCTTGCAGTCGCTACTCAGTCTCGAGGTATCGCCGACACGCCGACGCTGGCAGTTGCTGTTCACATTCGGCGCATACATAGCGTGTCTTTATACGTTAGCATGTCATCTACGGATACAGCAGATAAAACTGAGAATATTACTTCCAATGCTTCCTTCAGCGATTCTTCCTCTTTTGAAAGGCAGGAACTTCCCACCATAGACAAAGTATTACAGGAGGCTAATAGAGATGAGACTTACCTACTTTCATAAGTACCACATTGTATAGTTTACTCAAAGAACTTCATTTTGAGTATAGAAAACGGGACAGAAATAGTATTTTGATGGACAGTCAAGATATTATTTTATGGAAAAGAAATTATATAAAATCAATAAAGGACTACGGCGACCAGGGCAGGAAGATTTAATACTTGGATGAAACCTGGATAAATGTTTGACATACAAAACCTAAATTATGGGCTGGCTCTACAATTAAATTAGCAAAACAAGCCATTAGATGGACTAACCACTGGCGTGTATCTAAACAATTCGTTATTTGTGTTGTAAAAATGTTGTCAAGTAGACTGAATCTATGAGCCCACGCTGAAAATTTATTAGTTTTCTTGAATTCTATATAAAATAATTATTTTCAGGAAAAGGAAAACGATTTGTTATCTGTCACATTGACTTTGTGCCTACTGCCCTATGGGCATTTGAGTCAAAGAGAACGACCGGCTACCATGAAGGAATGGAGTTCATTTGAACAATGGTTTGAAGAAATGCTCCCAAAGCTTGACGACAATGCCGCATTGTACTTGATAATGCTGAGTTGCACTGTTGAGTCATTTATTTTAACAGTGAGTAGATCTGATCAAAAGAAATGTTTTTTTCCTTTAACATTTTTCTGGTAAAATTAAAGTAACAAAGTTATAGCCCTTTAGAAGTTTGAGTACCGACCTGTCTCAATAATAATATGTGCTCGTGTTTGGCAACAACGGATATAATACGCCTTATCGGTTCATCGCTTCAAGGACAAAAAAGCGAAAGAATTTGAAACGCTTATCACGATGTTTTTACTACAATTTTATTCACTTG